ATGTCCAATAAAAGCCTCATTATTTGCTTTTGTTTTTGCGTAAAGGTAAATTTTTCGGCCCACAAAGCAAAGTTGAAAAAGCGACTAAATCTTAGTTTTTTACATTGAACATGTTTATTAGCTTAGTTTTCGTCCGTTTTAAAAGCTTTATAACCCAATCATAATTTTCGGGTTAAAATATTACAAAATCATTTCAAAAACCATGTTCATTTAAAGTAGAGCCGGCAAACCTGAACATTTTGTAATTCAAAAGTCGGACCCAGCCAGGTTGTTTAAGCTTAGAATTATTTGCATTTTAGCGTCCTATAAATTTACCAGAATCGCCTCTCAGAGGCTTACTGTAGCAAAGCATTTTGTAGTACACTCGTAGACAAGCAATGTAAGCCTTAAGTCTTTGCTTGGATGAGATGTCCAAAAGAAAAATTAGTTTTGTGGACCTAAACGCACATTCACAGACTGCTTATATTGAGTTGTTTACAACTTTGCATTGACACGCGCAGCATGTTCATTTTTTTAAAGCGAAATCCAAATCTGATTTTGGCATTTGATTTACGGATATTTTATTTTGTCTCCAAAAGTGATTGTAATATCCGTTTGATTGTCTTTCAAACAACAGTCAAACTATGCAGCAAAAATAAGTAACTTTACCAGTACAGTGGAAAAATATGACCGTAGGTGCCAAAAATAATTATACTCGAGCTATAAAATTAGAACTGACTTTTTTTAGCTTTGGTTTCTTATTTTTGAAGTTTTCTCTAGTCTTCTTAGCAGCAGAAGAAGATTACAAGACATACAAACAGAAACAATCCGAAGTGAACAAGTTGACAACCACTTATGCCGGAGTTCTTAGGCATGCTCAACAGCAAGATAAACTGAATGCCAAAAGGATAATTCACGGGATTTGTTCGATATTCAGGCTTTTTCTTTACCAAATTAATACTAAATTTGTACTTACAGTCTCTCGCAGAATCCATTTCTTGTCCAGCATTCACCAACATCTCAACCATGCACCGCAGAAAAAAAAGACAAACAAGTGCGAAGAGACATGACGACATCGTGACGCCACAACTGCCACGCTACAACAAACTAGATTCCTCGTCATCCGCGAAAACACTTCTGCGGAAATTCGGCCGATTTCGTGCGTGCTCGGGGTATCTTCGGATGACGCAGATGACGTTGCTCAAAGGACTATCGTCAGCAAGGAGTAAAACAGTTTGCGAGATTCGCATAGCCGACAAGGAGCGCACTGAAAAACTAAGCAAAATCTCTCTGAGAAGGCAGTCCAAATTCACCAAATCAGAACGTCTTTGCAGTATTAACGTCGTACTCTCGTACTGACTTGAACGACCTGGTAAGCTTCATTTTCACCAGTCTTTTAATGCTGTTGACCGGGAAACATTCCGACACGATAAAACTTAAGCATGGATAAGTTTATACTGAGAAGATTTGTTATCTTATTGTTTAAGACGCTTTTCCGCGATCAAATTTAAATGTGGACCCAGAAATGTCAGTATCGGTTTGAAATAAAAGGATTAATCTTTGATTGCAAGTTAAGTATTCTATTTTATGTATGAATAATGTTGTTTTGTTGTGCTTTTTATTTATAAATCCAGGCTTCTGTCTTCAGTTTTGCCAGTCGATCCCGTGACACACATTGTGACAAACATGACTTTTTTTGTTATAATCTGCATTTATTGCCAGGCATGAAACCTGTAACTTCAAGCTCCCTAAGATATATTTGGCGATTATATGTGATTCTCAGGATATGATGCTGAAGCGAACATCAAAATCAGTCTCGCTGGGCATGCCAATTTCTTGCCTGGCATGCCGGGCATGCCAAACCAACCTGGCTTCACCATCGGCATGCCCGGCATGCCAAACCAGAGGAGCTAAAACTGGGAATGAATTATTAACCCGGCGAGAGATCTGGGACCTAAGTTTAGCTGGGTCAATTTTGGGCTGCGAGGGCATGAACCCATTTTTTCCATGCCTATGAGATGTTATTTCTAAGTACCAATGTTCCCTTGAATTTTGTCATGCCTAAATATATAAAATTTTCCCTCTCTCATTAATCCTCAGACTGGATGCGATTTTTACGCTCGGAAGGCATGTTCAACTGAAAATCATGCCCATACCCTTATTCCAAACAAAATGCTATCAAATTTTAGTTTCCAAGCCGTTAAATATGCTTACATTTATAGAACTCGCTAGATTTCAATACCATTTTGTAATTCATTTTAATAATTCACGAAATTCCAAAACAACAGCAGTGTTGATAGGCTGTTTCTTGATCGAACAATCATCGTACACAGGATGAGATGAATTGCGAACAAATAACGTACAGGCCAAAACTTGTTTATTCACAGGTCAGGTAGATGTACAGCACATGCCGTTCACTTACCTAACTTACAATTCTGATTCCCGAGATAACAATCTGTGTGACAAACGAATACTCGCTATAACTAATCTTGAAACCTAGAATAAAAAAAAAATAAACCGAAAAATGTTCCGTAAAATACTTCTTGAACTGTTCTTACCGTTTAGGCCGTTTAAACAAACATCCGATAAACTACGATTTCTGCACAGATCTTACATGAGAGCAAAACAAAATGGCGGGTTGCTCCTAAGAGAAAAACAGGCGCGGCAGCTAAGCACTTGCTTAAGCAAACCGCTGACTGCACAGCGCTGCAGTCACAGATTGATTGAACCATCGAACCATGGAACCATTGAACGAAAAATCTCAAATCGCTCAAGAATATGGTCTGCTGCCGGCTGATGCCTGGCAGCAAAATTTTACGCCTCGGTGATCCAAAACAATACTGACTAACTGTAGTTATACCCAAGCAGGGTTCGTGGGTTAGTCTTAAGTTTACAAACAAACAACCAATCAGAATGTGACACTTCTTTTCGCACATGCGAGATGAGCGTATATAAATACACAAAATAAAAACCAAGCGTGAAGCGAGGGGGAAACCAAAATCAACAAACAAAAAATTTACATAGGCTAATTAGACCAAACTGTTGTTAACTGCGTGGTGTGACCGCCATGTCGACCGAAAGCAATAACTACAGTTAGGTATGACATCACGTAACTTGACACTAACTTAAGTTAAAACTTTAGTTACGTCGTAGATGTGACCGCAGCCATTAACTGTACGCAGCGCTATTACCATGATTGGTTCTAATTGAAAAGACGTTCATTGGTTGTCTCTTGTTCTCGATGCACTCGAATTCACTTCTTTTGTTATCCGCATTGAATAATAAGAGCTCTATCTACTTAGAACCAGCAACTATGACAGTGAAGATCACTAAATTGTCATGTAGTTATATGCATGCTTATTTTTCAACGTAATTTCTACGATAATAAAATTTAGCATCACCGACTCTTCCCTCCCCCCATATCACAAAAAAATGACGCATGTTGAACCAGTCGATTAACCTGTCAACAGATTATACCGTCTACCCTCTACCGTCTTTGATTACCAAAAAATAGAACATGAATAAGTATGACGATCAAGTTCACGTAAAAATTCTTTCCCACGCTAATACAATTACCGACTGCTCTCCTTCACACTTTCTTTAGAAGGATATTTGAATCGAATAATTACTGCCAATCACTTGTCGAAATGTAAAATGATAACAAATGTTTTATGTAGCCATTGTAATATTACTAAAGTAAAAAAAAAAAAATGAAGAAATGAAGAAATATCACTTGAAATGTGCCACATGCACATAGTGGTTCTTTGTATACCATTCCTGATCGAATTGGAATTTGGAAATGTTGGTTGTTGAGGAGAGGGGAAAATACATGTAGGAGTAACCGGGGAAAACTTTTAAAGCAAGGCCGGGCGAGACCCAACAACAGACTCATTTCACATATGGCGTCAACTCCGGGATACCAACCCGGGGCCACGTGGCGAGCGAGTGCTTTCACTATTATACCACCCTTGTCTCCCGCAATGCTTGAGAAGACGCCGAAGAAAAATGTCATCATTTTTTCACATAAAGCTTTATTCTCTTGTCACCTTGTTTTATTATTTTCCACTAATTGATATAGCTTTCTCTTGTTTGTAATTACATGTATTGTTCAAATGGATAAACGTACATTTATTGAGTTATTGTTATTAAATTACGAGCTAAACGACTGTAAATATTACATATTAAAATTGTTGGGTTTTATTGACTTTAGAATTGTTAAAGTTTAAATCCCTCGATTAATTTGCGGTATAGCATACACTATATTTTTCATTGCGCTAACCTTAGTTCGGTCATGCGTAAGGGCGATATTTGCCATCTGGAATTCATTCGTGCCTACATTATATATATATATATATATATATAAAAAACCTCACCACAAGATTTTAGATTGTTACATTTAATCTGAATCATTCAAAAATGTTCTCAGACACAGGAACCTGGAATGAATCACGGTATTTATGTCCATGACGCCTCAAAACATTCATGGTACTTTGGCCTTAATTCATGTCCGAGTCGTCTCTGAAAAACAATGACGACGTAGACAAAGAGTAATTCCAGTTTTCAGAGTTGTCGTCTTTCGAAGAAATAGATAACAAAGATCTGGCGTCGTACTCGTTTTTCCAGACAAATTCTCCGAGTACTGACTTTGAATACTCCATCGCTTCCTTAACATCTGACAATAGAAGATCCTCTTCAGTTGGAGGAAATTTGTACCGCGATTCTTTGATGGAATAATGTCCTTCAAAGCCGGCTCCTTTACCTACCCACTGATTGTCAGCATCGTGATCAGGTAAATCGTCACAGGAAAAAAGGCTCTCAGTCTCGGCAAGCATGGCCCTAGTCTCCTGCTTACATCCGCCTTCATGGCCATCGCAGTTTCGCCCTTGGACGGACTGGATGGGAAAACCGTCGTCTTGGTTCAAACTTTCAAAGCACAAAAGTGGGTCAGTTTCAAAATCTCTCGTTATATCTGTGTTGCTTCCTCTTATCTGATCTTTCGCAGTTCCTAATTTCAAAAAGTTTTTAGGTATCGATTTCACGAAAAACTTCTTAGATTTCCGACCACACCGTTTTAACCCATCTTTTAGGCGATTTTTAATGAAATCACCAAGCTCCTCCCCGGGATTTCTCCCATGGCTGGCTTGATGGTATGCCTCATCCAAGATGGCAATGAACGTATCCGTGAAGACAATAGTCAAGGCAAGCATGCAGGCCATACGATATAGGGGAACAAACATTTGGGACGAGGGTCCACTACTTAGCTTTGAACGCATTTTTCCTATTCCAATGGCCATTTGAAAAACCGACCTAAGAGAGAAATAGAGAGTGGAATATTCCTCATCCATTGTACCAAACAAGAGTGTTCCAAGCTGGGCGAATGCAAGAGCGAGGAGAATAACTATAAAGGAGAAGGAACAAATGTAGCTCCACGCTGCCTCTAACGTTGACTTCATTATGTGAATATGACGGTTTATCTGAATAAGCTTAAGGCTCTTAACTGTGGTCAACACAACTGTGATTGACAAAACAACGTTTTCAATAGTCTCCCACTTAACGAGTTCGTATGAAGTCCAGTAGCCAAATGGATCCTCCTTTATTTTTTGAAGAAAATCTCTCAAATCGTTTTCCTTCAAAAACACAAGCAACATTGCAGTAGCAGAAGAAAGGAGTTGAAAAGAAGAGATCCAGTTAAAGAAAGCCTTAAAATACGAACTTCGCTGCTTGAAAACCTTAACAATTTCAAGAACCACCAGCACTACAGTGAATACTGACCATAACAGAATGCAAATGTGATAGAACAACCACAATGCAGAATCAGATGAAGGAAAAATGTGAACAGGAACCACGACCACCGTCTTTTTTGTAAAACCCGTCGAGAATCTCTCTAATACAATCATAACGTTTGTCAGCAGCAGGTTCGCAGGTTCGAAAATAACAAATTCCGCCAATATTACAGCTGATCTGTCGTCCATCCAGTTGAATTCTTCAAGGCTCTGTTTGACTCTCAAAGCGGTTTCGTTATCGTAACCGATCTTGGCTATGTAACCACCAGCGCCGTAAGGAATAAGTTCACTAGCACTCTCGGGCACCGTATATTGCCAAGGTTCAGGACAAAATGAATAGGATTCTTTTGAATTTTGATCATGGGTCGAATCCATGGGCTTCCACAAGGGTTTGTATGATGGGGTGGTGTCCTTATTTGATCCTCTATGCAGCCGTTCTGTAGCCAACTTTACTCCAGCTTTATTCCCAAGATGCACTTTATTAAGTGTCCATCTAAGACAGTTAATCTTTTATTTAAATTTTTACATAATTCATCATAGAGTTCTGTACAAAAGGCAGAATTCTTTTGGTCGTTACCTGAATTTTAAACAAACGAACAAACAAAAAGCAAAACGGGTTTGACAATTGATTACCCCACTGTTCTCGTCTAGCTTTCTGGCCGATACCAGGTTCTTTAAACAACCGAATAACTTTTCTATATCACTAAGCTTATAACGCACCTAAGATCATACTATAGGACGTTAAGAAAACCATCTACCTTGTTTTATTCGTATTTGTCGAAGCCTTGGCATGCCAACTGTATATCCGATCTTGCCTCTTAGGAGTCCATCATCAAAGTGAGCAGCTGGGTGTCCATTGTACAAACGTGCGTCATAGAGACCTGGAACTAATTCGTTTTCAAACCATTTCCAAAATGATTTGGGATCTTCCACCTAGAATTCATGAATAAAGCTGCAGTTTAGTGGACTGGGAAAGGGACATGGGATATTTGACAACAAAGCGATATTCGTATGACCTTGAAAAATGGTTTCGGTAAGTGTTCGTTATTTGTTTTATCAGCCAATGGATGAAAATATCAAAACATGGACTCTTCGTTTTCCCGCCAAAGAAAACCCTTATATGGAAGAGCGAAGTATCCATTGCTTTTTAGAAAGTTCTTCGGGCATGAACTTCTTTTAGCCGAGCGTTCGCTTAACCACACCAAAAGCCACGCGCGTTTGTATCCGTTCCACAAACCAATCAAATCGCTGTATTTCCGTTCGTTTGTTGTTTCTGTTTTGTTTGCACGTTTTCATTTCAAGGTCATACGAAAATCACTCTACTGTTATTCTTTTTAATGTTTGGATCAAAAGCGCTGTATACTTCCAAAACGAGTTCTTCAGTATATGCGGAAGTAATAAAGATACCTTTTATTGAGATACCTTTTATTTACAGTGAAACCCGGTCAATCTTTCCGAGGAAGAACAAACATTGAACATGATTGTTTCAATATTGGGTTCATTATTGGTTTTAATTTTGCGTTGTTCAGTTGAAGTATTTGAAGAAATCAAAATAATCTTCGATTTAAGAATTGAATTCTGATTGAATTGGCGCATCCATCTTCTAAGCGAGAAAATTCGAGAAGTCAGTCTAATTGAAACAATCTGGAAGAAAAAGAAACATCTGTTGGTACCTTGACCTTATACAGTCGTGCTCCATTAAGCGTGACCGGCTTTCCAAACAAGTCAGAAAAAAATGCGTCTGACACTTGAATGAAATATTGAATATCTCTCTTAAAATCGCTTTTTAAGCCATGACTTCGTCATATACAGAAAGAAAACTTCTATTGTTCACATATGTAAAAATTCGCTAAGAATGATATTTTGTGGTAAATCTGGAATTTTCCCACTTACTGCTGTGTAAGTGAACTATGAGTGAACTCAATATTCAAGAATTCAACTTTAAATTTCGTTCTACGTACTGAAGAACTCTTGACCGATTTGACTCTGAGGTAACTGATACAAGATGGTGGCTGTTCTGAGGGCTGTACAGCAAGGTCAGATAGGTTAAGGTGACTCCTCAAGAATGCACCTACACTTTAATAAATCTAAATTTTTACTCCGGGTTGTTGGAAATGGTCATAATTTAGTATAGTCGTATTCTGTGTTTTGTTTTAAAGTTTTGTTCACGACCCTAAGCTACGGTCTTTTGCAAAGTTGAATGGGGTCCTTGGTTAAGCGGTAAGAGCCATTTCAAATAGAGCTGATTCGTCAAAGTGTAAGTGCTGAAAACAGTTGGGGAACATCTCTGGTTTCCCTGTACCTTGCTAAAATTGCTGAAAGTATCTTTGAGTGATCTTGTCAGTCGATATCTTGACGGCTTGCGGTTTCCATAACAGACAGTCATTAAAAGAACGATAAACGCGGTGTAAATGCCCAGTTCAATAAAGAAACGATACATTTTTCTTTGGTGTAGCCTCAAATGTCGCATTTTTTGCAGCTCTTCATCAGACGGCTGCCGGATATTTACGTCTCCACTTCCATGAAACACCAAGTTTCCCCTGCGCGAAACCTCAACCTCGCTAGTAGTGCCAGTCTGTTTTATCTTTAACAGGGATGTGATTGCGGTATTAACAATAATAATGATCGGTCCATTGATCAAGATATCTTGAAGTACCGCTATACTGACAGATAGTAACCATCTATTGGACACTTCTGCTCCCCACTGGATGCTGTAAAACACGGTGAATGTTCCTGAGGAAATGGAGGTTGTCAGGCAGATCATCCATCCAATTACGACAAAGCACGGCGGTAGGAAGCCTTGCCTGGATTCCCTTGTTGCTGTATCGAAATTGTCACTTGGTATTGTTTTCTTGATGTTCCGAAATATAAATACCGTCCCTATGCTTACAGGAAGAGCGATAAGCCCACATTGCACACCAATGACGATTTGCCTCAAGCTCATTTCCAAAGGGCCAATTTGAAATGAATTAGATAAATCGTCTGAATCCCTAGACTTTTCCAAGCGATAAAACATGGCATTGGTTACTAGAGAAATCATTACGATTGAAAACAGGCATGTTAGACGTTGACATCGTGTAAAAGAATTTTGCGGTGGTCTGGTGAAAAGGGAGAGAAATAAATGTTTGTCTGCAAAGTTTGTGACAACGCGCCAGTGAAACAATCTTGTGAAACTTTCCATTTGTCGATTTGTGGCGGCCCAGACTTCCACATCAACAGCACCGTCCAACTTTTCTACAGACAGCCATCTGTTTGCTACGAAATGCCACTTTTCGTTGGTAGAGTTGTCTCTAATCACAACTTGGTACAAAAACCAGGATGGACTTTTTCCGCTATTATCGTGCCAAATCTGTATCTTGTACAGCTTTCCCATATGTGCTGGCAGGCTGAGAGTGAATGTGTTTACACTACCACGAGTGAAGAGTTTGGCTTTTTGCCAGGGATCCATGAAACATATTTTATTACTGCTACCTTCTTCGCCAAATAGTCGGATTCCCACTCGAGCTGTTGTGCCGTTAAGGTGCCACATCCCAGTTTGAATGGACACTTCATAACTGTAGCAGTTTTCTTCTTCGTCGTCGCAAGAAGACGCTATTGTGTTAATAATCTGTAAAAGAGAAAAAAACCTCTCAAAGATAACCCCTAAACCAACCTTTATAACCTGGATTCTTGTGATAGCTTACCATCTTTTTTTAGTATACCTTATAGCCTTTGTAGATACTAAGAACGTTTTAGTTCACGAGATGTCTAAACAATGTTTAAAGCAGAATCAAAACCACAAAACGCATCTACCTTCATCTTGTCTTTGTTATCCGCCCTTCTTGCAATGATAAGACCCACAGCGTAGATTGCAAAAGTAATGCAAACGGTAAGCAGGACAGCCAAGTTATCTGGCGGGAGGTCTTTGAACACTCTGTTGAAGTCAATATTGTTTGGGATGACGTAGAAGTTGCCAGAAAATGTAGTCAAGTGATTTGCCAAGCAGACAGCTACAGTCTCGTTACTCTCGTTAGCGATCTGAAATTATAATAAACGAAAAGGTTACTTCGATTTATTCAGAGGAATAGCATGACTAACAATCTTTAAACCAAGTACTGGCAAGTACTACGCACGTCAAAGATGAAGGCAAAGGTGTGGTGGCTGTGACCATCCTTTTGACGCTCGTCAAAGTTGAAGTCAAATACGAACACTACACTTTTACAACACTTTTGAATGGTGTCAAAGCTGACAGCAAAGATGCAAAAAATGGGCGCTCGAGAAGCGCGTGTGACTACTGCTGAAGAGTAAAATGCAGCTTTAACGCTTTTGAATTCTTTAAAATGTATTGCAACGTTTCTCAATGAACCGTAACGCATTTTTAACCTTTGCCATGAATGCGTGCAACTTCGTCAAATGATGAAAAATGATCAACACATTGGCAATGTTACAATTTTTTGCGTGACGATAGAAATGGTAGCGAAAGGTCAATGCAGGACACGTAGTCACTCCATCATGTCCTTTTTACAATGCGCTGCAAATGGTCTAGTCTCCTTTTTTTCCTTTGTAAGAAGATTTTCGTAAGACTTCTGATCTTTCGTGATATTGTGTGGGAAGACTCACAAGACCTGAAAGGAACCTCAGAAATTTACACCTTGACCGCGCTTTGTAATCGATAAATTATAATAACAGAAACATCATTTAATATTTAAATATAAAATATAGAAAACAAAAACTCCTTTACTACGTGTGTTGCAAATTGCGTGTCATTTGCCTAAACATCCTTGGTGAAACATGATCCTGTGAACTACTTCGTTGCCTAGCACGTGACCGAAAGACTACTCCAAAATTTCATTACACAAAGTAGCGATGCTGATGTTTTCACAGGAGTTGATTTGGAGAGGAGAAATCTGTTATACAAATATCGTGGTTTCTAGACTTGGCTTAACTGCAGAATATACCGAGAAGTGGAGACCACGAGACAGCTGAGCATTTCGTTTGTCATCGAGGACCATCGAAGAAAGATTCCGAAAAGTGGTTATCTTTGTATGCTGATTGACTGCGAATTATACTCTATTGTTACTTACTCACTTTCGGAAACTAAGTATGCTGATTGGCTCCAAAGTATATTCTATCGTTACTTACTTACTTTCGGAAAACTAACTCGATTGCAATATGACTACTGGCGAATGCACAGTAGTAACAAAATTTATCTCTGCGGTTTAAACACTCATGTCGATACTTATAAAAGGAAAATGAAAAGTTGTGATACTGTTTTAAGGAGAATTAAACGACAATACCGAACATGGCTGGTAATCATGGTAATTGCTGATTTATAAAAAATGCTCTGGAATGTGCTTTTTCGAGGGGAAAACTTTTCTCCATCTTGAATGGACCATTTTCTTCTTGATCGATCAATATACGATGATAGCGCCACCAAACTGAACTACCACCGCGAAATCGGATGATGGAAGATTGGACACGAGCGGAACACGCTGCGTTTGGCGCCAAATTGTCGCTGCTGCAAACTCTCTTCGCCTGGGCGAACAAACAAACAAACTAGATGTGAAGAGAAAAAGTTGTTTTTTTTCTGTAGGAAGCAATTCAGCTTTCGTTAACAAATATTTTCACTGTTATCTTTGATGCAGTTTATAACAAACTTGTTCAAAAGGTGTCATTCTTTTCTTTGAGTGAATGCAATAGTTGCTCTTCATGGTTGCTCTGATATTTTAAAGCTTACAGAAACCAACTCTGAACTGTATTTTAACCTTATGTCTTCCTTGGAAGCTGTGATGACTATTATATCTGGTTTTAAACCCGACACCTTTCTATTGAATATTTGAGTTTTCATTACTTTAAGCCCTTTTTCCATAATAGGGCTAGTGACATTACTGCAAAAGTAATGGCTTGCAATTTTTGAATCCTAACCCAGCCTGAGCTCACTCACTCAAGTAAGGCCAGAATCGCTTCAGACTTTTGAACCCTCTTACGCACCAAGCAAGGTGAAAAACGAAAACGATGCTATCCGAAATCGGATTTCCGACTTTGACAAGCGACGCATCTCTCAACCATAAAACCAGTAAACAAACTAGCCATGAATAATAGCAGCTATCATTTTGTACATACAGTGGAAAAAGACGGTTAAAAACATCACAAGTTGACACAAAACTCTGTCAGCTTCAGCTGTCAAAGTAAACAAGTTTCAAGATGCTGCATAAATTTTCTGCATGAACTCACCTGTCCAACTTTGACCAATCAGAGCATAAAAATTGGACGCGTGACCAACGCGTGACTTTGGTACGAAAAGGTCTTCCCCACCTGTATTTCTGAACAACTGACTGCATTTTCGCGTCCGAGGTTAGTTTGAAATCAAAATCTTTATAATGCGGGGCCATGGATAGTGAAATAAACACAACTTTTTTTAAATGAATTTTTAAAAAAATAAACTTGCGCTGGCGATCATTTGAAAACTAGTAACTTGTCAGCGGATAACTTCAAAAAAGGGGGTGGTATGCAATAATGCCAATAATGTGCTTTCAGCGAAAACGTTGAAGAATTTCCAAAATCACCTGGACAGCCATTCGCTTATTACTTTTGAAAAGCACCAAATTTTGCAGTGCGACCTGTTTACGTATTTGAAGAACAGAATTTATTATGAGCAATCTTCGTAAAAAGCGTTTGATACGGGCGGCATTTTGAGTACTCCAGCGAGCGATGTTTATGTTCGACTAAAAACAACCGGCAAAGCGGTTTTAAAAAATTGCAATAAGAGTCACTGCAAGCAGTCAATAAAAGAAATAGAATTCGTTTAAACGTTTACAGAGACAACTATTTTAATTCACGAAGACAATTATTGAGATCATAGTGTTTCTAAAAATCCTGAGTCATGTAAGCTTCAGCATACAAACAACTTTGCAGATTTAAGTCGTAAGCCGGCTTTCCAGTGTTTACTTTTTTTTCAACATGAACTCGAGGCAAGAAATTCGCTCAAAGCTTTCTTTTTACAGCCAAAATTATAACTAGATATTCTTTGGAACGTTTTCTTTCTATTTTCAGTCAGAAAATGTCTGTAGGCTTTTTAAAGTTCTGCATAAGCTTATAGCGGGGCTCCCTCGCGCGCGAAGCGCGTGGGACAGAGCCCCATACTCATAGAATATGGTCAACCTCTTTTCTTTTGGTTGTCACGTGATCGACCGAGCGTACGTACGTACGTACGTACGTACGCGTCTACAGATTGTACGGGTAGGGTAGGGGAGACTATCAAAAGGAAGGGAGGGGTGTCTCAGGCGTGTCTTGGCAAATTCACATCTTTTACATTGGCCATTCACAATATGGTCAATTGACAGCTGTCAAAACAGGATAACCACTGATCAGTATCACATTGCCATATCGAGGGCTCATGTGTCAACTCATCTAGGTGACGTGATTTATTTGGAAGCTGTCCGCTGACCAGTTGTTTTACTAGATCGCCATCAATGTTCAATCTCATACTTTCTAGCAAATTTGAGAGCACAGGAAAACTGATAATGCACACATCAATTGGACATCAATGTTTTGATCAATTGACAGCTGTCAAAACAGGGTATCCGCTGACCAGTATCACTTGACCGTATCGCGGGCTCAGGTGTTTACCCATCGAGGTCAAGTATTTTTTGAAGTTATCCGCTGACAGGTTACTAGTTTTTAGATGATCGCAGGCTCAAGTTTGATATTTTTTTCATTCATATGAAATATGTTTTGTTTTTGGGCCGCACAATTAAAATTTTGATTTAAAACTGACCTCGGACCCGAGCGCAGCTCATAAGCACAACTTATTTCCTATACATTAAAAAACATTGAACTTGAGTCAGCGAACATTTGTAAACTAGAAACTTGTCAGCGGATAACCTTAAAAAATACTCGATCTAGATGGGTCGATAACTGAAGCCGCGAAAAAGTCAGGTGGTACTGATCAGCGGATAAACTGTTTTGACTGCTATCAATTGATCACAACATGGATGTGCAATATTAGGTTGCACCTGGGCTCCGATACTATTATCTATAGCTAGAGAGTTTGAGATTAAACATTGGTTCTCCTGCGGTGTGGACAGACGGTCGGTGGTCGGTGTACGGTCACGTGATAACAATACAATGCAATAACCTTTATTTAACGTGGTCAATGTTCTTAGCTAATTAGCTACTTTACAGACATGCCACGAAAAATAGATTAATAAATAAAATAAAAATAATAATAGAAAGAGAATATTTCTCACTAAAAACTCATATAAAAACATTTATTATATGGCTGAGTCTGTTTTCACCATGCGATTGGTCAATTTGCGGTCCGTAACTTGCTATACGGACCAAAATTTTTAAAGAAAATGCTCATTTCGGAGCACTAAATCTCTTTACCTCGGAAAAAAGGTTTAAATAAAGTTATAAGACGCCTGTCAACCTTTAGGACTTGGATGTTGACTTTGGCCTTCAACATTTTAAAGTGTGTTTATTTGTGAACGAAGGCGATGAAGAAACTAACTCGTAATCTTATCGAAGAGGATTCTAGTCAGTGTTTGAAAATTTTATCGCAGGACACAGTTAAGAAAACGAAAATCGACTGGCAGAGATTCGAGATGTTTTGCCTAAGAGAAAATGAGTAATTCCTTCGAAAATTATGATAACAAACAGCTTCTTTGCCATTTGCACTGTTTTTCAAAGACCGACGAAAGAAAGATAGAAGCGAATTCGAGCCAGACACGATGTCCAGTTTTCAAAAGATTTCAGCGTCACATTAACGAGTGAATACTTACAGTACTCTTAGTTTTGACCGAATAAACTTTAAAATATGTCTGTAAACCCTGAGGACTGGGAGGTTGACTTTTCTTTTCCAAATTATAACCTAGTCGTTGTTTTAATGTGAAGAAAGCTGGTGTAGAAACTGAATCGTAACCTTACCGAGGCAGAGAATTCTAGTTAGTGTTTGAAATTCTTAACGTAGATCACAGTTGAAGACGAGAATGAACTGGCAGAAAGAGAGGTTTTCCCAAAAACAATTAACGAGCGAGTCC